ATCAATCACTTCTAGATTTAATCGAATAATTAAAACTAGCACATTTCAATATCGTTATGAAACAATTTCTTAATGATCCTCTCTATGAAAATGAGTTACAAGTTTGAATAAGCATTGACATACAAAACGTCAAAAAAAATTATCTTGAGCGAATTTTTCAAAGATAAAATTCTGTATATCATTTATTTTATTTGATAAAATAATGATTGAATGATTCAATTTTATTAATTGATTGATTTAATTATTATTTCTCTAAGATCGTTAAAGTTATCAGTGAAAAAAATCTGTGTTCATTTAAAATATATTTTATTTTTCGTGAATAAGAAAAAAGCGATCATATATGAAACTATAATTTTTTAGGATTGTTTTTTTTAATGATTCATTGCACATTATCCAACAAAGTTTTATGTTAATAACTTATTGTCATTCTCCTTATCGGTTGTTGTATTCGTTTGATAGTGTGATCAAATGCGCTGATGATAACTACTCGACAATTCCATATATGAAAGCCGAAAGCGATCGCAGTTATTATTAGAAACATAAGAAAGACTCCACCTAAAGTATTGATTGAAAACGTTTTACTTTTCGGACCATCAACATGATTCAAACTGCTTGATGATGATGATGAACATTCTCGATGATTCATCCAGACCTTTTCAAATAATTCTAATTTTTGTGATTCACGTAATGACACAATATTGACATCTAAATCTTTCTTGTATAGCCAATTTTTAGGTAACACAATTGCAAATGATGATTTAATAAAACCAACACCAGTTACAATTAATTCATTACAATAGTAATTGTTAACAGCATATTCAAGTATAGAGGAATCCCATATAGATGCATCAATGGTATGATCAAGTAATCGTGAGTATGTTTCTTCAACACTAGAAAGAGAATAGTAATGAGTAGAAATATTTCTTATATAATAATCGGACACAGCTGAATTAGTCACAATACCAATACGTGAAAAAGGTAAAACACCATTTTTGATATCATCAATACCAGAGATAAATGATTGACCACGGTTTAACGTAAGAAAAGATGAAAAATTAGCTGTGTATATTGCGATAAGAATTATGCCTAAGGCATATAAACCTAAAATTGTTAATCGACTTGAAGTCGTTGTTAAACGTATATCACTATTCATGATTAAAATACTAGTCAATCCATGACATATACCAATCAAAATAGTCTTTAATTCAGATTGATTATTTTCAATAGTTCTATTTTGATGTTCAAAAGCATAAATAATAATACTGGAATAAATAATAACTGCAAATATTGCTACCCAT